CCCTTTCTTGTTTGAATTTTATCACGCGTTGCAAAGATTTCTTGAGCTACATTCAGCCGGTGTATCTCAAATCTCACAGAAGGTACCGGAGATCAAAAGAAATGGGTGGTTTTAAGTATTTTTCTGGTTAAAATCTCAAAAGAGCATGGTGCAAGATGAAGAAAACAGAATGCTATATTGACGATTATACCTTGCAGTGATGCGATACGGGCAGATATCAATGCCTGAATCTGTCATATCTTTAAGTATATGCCTCCTGCTCACACAGATGTATTTTCTAGATGTGCTCACAGAAATCCCTTCATAACAGAGTAGAAAGATTCCTAATTTCCTTGTGACTCCACGAAAATCTTAAGTTATCTATATATAAAGTATATATTTTGTAAAATATGTAAAATCTCATATAGAAGTATTAATTCCTCTGGGAATAGCAAAATACAATGGGGAGAGAGCAGGGGAGAGAAAGAGAGGACATGAGAAAAGTTAAAGCATACAGATTATCCTGCTGCTGTTCTAAAATTATTCAGCAAGAATTCATTCCTATGCAGAGGTCAGTTTTCCAGCCTGATGACAATCCCCATCCTCAACTTTATTCCAATGATTTGTCCTCTTCATTCTTTTCTAAAACAGAAAAACCCTCTCACTAACGAAGAGTATGTGTTCAAGCTGGATTGCCCTAGGTTTTCAACAGGCTACGTTTTTCTTACGGACCTTGGGTAAACAGTCTCATGTCTGCCAGTCAGGCCCTTTTTCAGGCTTCTCTGTTTTGCTTTGGGCTCCAGCACAGTGTAACTGCAACAGGATTGATATCCCAGACTGTCATTACTGTCATGACTGAGCAAGTTTTACCTCCTGGTACTGCTTACAGCTGCTGTCCAAACTACTTCCAGCAGATACTGATGCCTTCTTTTAAGGGCTAGTTACCATGTCTTGCATGATGCTGGGAGTGAGGATCACAAAGCGCACCAGTGCCAGGGCAGGAAATGGCACCTTCTCCAGACTCCTGCTCTGCTCCCCCACCCTGACCCACAGACCTGTTCAACTGCTCCCAGAAAAAGTCTTTCCTACAAAGATAATTTTCTTTAAAAGAAGTCAAAGCCTTCCTCACTTTGTAATTCTTAACACATCAATACTGCTCTCTAAGGCATCGGGACAGCAAAACAGTAAACTCACTAAAGCAGAAATACAGTCCTGTTTAGCTTCACTGCAGCTAATGGTTGCCTGCAGAGCAAGGACCTTTAAATGCTGGTTGAAACCTGAAAGAAAAGTCCTTTATGTATACTAAGAAATCAGTGATAGATTACTAGAAGGAAAAGAGCAAAGTCAAGAGCAGAGTACTGCAGGGCGCAGGGATGGCCTGCCTGAAGCCAGGGGCTGGCTTCCCCGAGCAGCACCCAGCTGCTGCCCTGCAGCAGCCGCCCGTGTTGCTGCTGCTTCTGCACAATGCTTCACGTCTCGGGCAAAAGACAACATGGTTGCCTAATTTTCTGTCGACCATCTTCAAGCAAACAGCATCAAAATTTGTTTGAGGGCTTGAGGACTGCAATTTTGTCAGTACTGAGCGAGGACAAAATATTTGCTTTTTTCATTTTAAAACACTGCACTTGTAAATAGCTCATCAAATTCTCCTAAACTGGGGACAATTAAATATCTGCTGATAAAAAAAATCACCCCAAAACTAAGTTTCTCTTTTTTCTTCAATAGGAATATACGACAAAACTTCTTATCTGTTTTCATAGCCTTTTGCACTCAAATTTAATAAATGTTCATAAATTCCAAGAAACACTTTCTCCAAAGCATCCTGTAAGAGCCCTCACTTCTCACCCAGTTTATTTATTGCATGGGGATTTATCCCAGGTGGAGCCAGTAACACCCATCTAACCCCTGCTCAAGCACATTTGGCAGAGCGCGCCAGGGTCTGGCCGTTCAATCCCAGTTGCAGCGAGCCTGCTCCGTCCCAGCACGGCCAAGGCTGAGCAAAACCTTCCCTCCAATGGCTCCCACAGCACCAGAAGAGAAAGCAGGAGGCCCAGCTCTCCCGTCACCTTTTCTTTTTGCTGGCATACAGACAAAAAACTGCACTTGTGTAAGGCATTAAAACTTTGAAATGAAAGGGGGGAAAAAAACCCCAAATTTTAAAATGGAGATACTCCCCCTCCTCCCCAAAGCAATATGGGGGTATAAAACTGAAGGAAAGCTGTTATTAAAAAGGGTAGGCTATGACTTAAAAAATTATAGGCAAATTAAAAATGTCAAGTCGGCAGGACACCTGGCACAAGAAATGGATGAAGATGTACAGGACAGAAAAATTCTAAAAACTAAGAGCATCCTAATCCAAGCATCTAAAATTAAATTAAGACTAAGATGAAATTCCACAAGTGTATGTTTTCAAGGGTGAAAATAAATAAACTGTAAACCATAAAGTTTTACTTCCAATACATTCCTTTTTCATTCTGGAAAAAACCCAGCATATATTAAGAATAACATGCCAGGCTCTGTCCAGTCAGCCTGGGCACAACCAACAACAGGACAACAAGAATTATACTAAAGCAGAGATGCAAAAGTCATACTAGATGAATAATTATTTAATGTTTAGAATGGAAAAGTAAACTGCTATTTTGGTCATGTCAGACCTGGTGGGCTGCATATACTAGTGAAAGATAGTAAGTAATAATCTGTAACCCAAGGAGTTTGCAATGTGAGAGAGAAGCAGTTCATAAAACAAACAAGGGGAATAAAAGTGGGCAGATGTGGAACAACAAATTATGACCACAGCTGCTCTGAAGTGCTCATAATTGTCGATCGAGCCCTTTTCTCCAGCTGCTAAACTGCATTAATATAGCTAAAAATACCTTTTCTGCTTTTTTTTGGTTCTCTTTATTGCTTTCTCTTTTAAGCAAGCACTATTATTTGCCAAAGGAGTTGTGTATGGCAGAGTAAGTGGGTCACAAGCTATATTCCGAAAGCACTAGTGAAAATGCGAACGTTTTTGAACTCCTGATTTAGGCAGCGTATATCTTCTAAGCTAGCTTCTGTTTCAATAATTTTGGTGTTTTACTGTTTCCTTCTTTTTTTAATTTTCCTGGGTGTCTCCTAGGAGCTGCTTGAGTCATATCCCACACGGGGTATGGAGAGCTTCAGCTACTGCGGCTCCATCTCCAAGAATCTGTGAAGCAGACAGTGTTTTTAATTAATTCCTCAGACACCCAAGCAGATGGAAACTGCCACCTTTATCTGCCATCTACCGCTCCCTTCCACTTCCAGGCGTGAACGGCCCAGCTCCAAGCCGGCAGCCTTTCCCAGTGGAAGCTTTTTCCCTTCAAATGAGGCCCACTGAAAATGACAGGACTCAGCTGCACACTGTTCTGGCAAAAATAGCCTCTACACAAGAGAAAAAGCCCCACAGTCTTCATCAGGAGACGCGTCAGCTCCTGAGGCTTGCACCTTCTTGCAGAGAGCGAGTGAAGCGCTTCAGGAATCAAATTAAGTCAAGGTAATCGCAGGTTTGCACAGTCGGTACTCTCACAGTAAGCATATGCCAATCTCACACTAGACCAGGACTAGCAAATCCGCTTTCCAAGTGCAAGTGGTGAAGTGAAGGGAGGTAGAGGTGCATCAAATTGTGGTTTTGTCTTGTGCAGTTTTGGGGGTGAGGCTCCGTATTTAACCCACACTGTACCCACGGACACACACCGCACACACGGACAGCTCATTCCTCAGTAAAGATCAACTTCATTCGTTTTCCAACAGTAGAGAGAGATTCATTTGCTTGGCAAATAACAGGATAGGAGAAGTACATCAGCAAGCAGATTCTTTTGAAGGGAATGGGTTTATTTCTCCAGTTGCTGAATAACATGACATTGGGGGTTTTTTATTCGTTAAAAAGAGGACAAATTAACAAGTAGCACTTACAAATGCCATACAGCCTGATTTGTTCTATGTTTTCTCCCTTTATTAAGAGGCTTGTTAATCATTTATTCCATAATTTCCCTAAAATGCTTGCTCAATACATTAAAAAGTACACATCTCTATGCATTCGATTACATGCAGAAAACTTCTATTGCTTGATTGGGGAGTCACAATGCCAACAGCTCTCATAGCCTGCCATCGCTGAAGACAGAATCATACTTCATACTTAGTATAACTAGGCTTTTCATCTTAAACTGTAATTACTTTCCACTTCAGAACTACAGAATGAAGCATCTTCCTATACTTAAGCCTCCCAGTGCACGGCCAGCTTGCAAAAACTGGACATTGAGCATTATCGATTTTCTCAAGGGAGTGAGATATTTGCTAACTGCCAAGAGCAAACTGTAACTACTCAAGTGTAGCATGAGGAGATGCAGTGTGAGAAATGACACACATCACTCTGTCCATATTGTGGAAGATCATCGCAGCTGAATGAAATGTCAGTTTATCACAAACCAAGCAACATCAAAAACTAGAACAGCCTCTAGGAAATTAGTAACGTACATACAAAGAAAAGGATAACACAGGTTTTATTTGTGGGTCTAACAAGGGGAAGGAATAAACTTAAATGTAAATACGTGCTGTTTAAAGAAAAGGTTCAGCAGAAACAGGTTTAAATGAGATTTGAAAAAAAAAAAGATCTTAGTGTCTGCAAGTTATAAACACGACCAAGTATTCAGGAAAAAAAAAATGGCATCAGCACTGCAGCTGAAATTACAACTCACTTGATATACAGAATAAAGAGGCTGCAATTCCAAGAGCCTTCCATACATTTTCTATATTTATAAACACATACACATATCCATACACACACACACACACACTCATGCTTTCTCAGTATCCTTCCACAGCAAGTCATTATAACCACATCAGAGCAAGGGAGTAAGAAAAGGCAAGCGAACAGAAAATGCCTTTAAAGAGTCATTAATCACAACATTGCTTACTAAAGAAAGGAATGAAGGAATGCAATATTTAAAAAACAGTTTCAAACCCACAATCAGTAGCTTGATCAAAACAACAAAAATCCTTACCTGGGCTTTTTTATTCCTGGCTTCTCTCCTTGCTGCTTTGTCTTTTAGCCTTTTCTCCTGAAACAAACAAGATGCACAGTTTTAAAGCAAACTCCTGATCATTTTTTTCTTTTAATATTTTACAATTAAAGTTCAGCCACCTAGATATTTTTAATGCACACATGCTATACTGGTGGTATTCACCCTGATAAAAAACAATAAATACAAAGATCTGACTGAGATATTATTTGTTCTTTTGCTCTTAAAGGAAATAAAGCTACAAGAATGATTCAAAGTCACATTTTATCTTCATTGAGACTTGTTATTCTTAAAGGAATCATGCAACTAAGCATTTTCACAAAGTTACCATTTGTCTCTAAAACAGGGTAGTTGAAATGGCACCAAGAGATCCAACTTTTCTTAAAGCTAAAACGTATTCTCCCTAGCTTTCGTATCTCCATTATCCACAAACACTCTACAAAAAAAATAGCATTTGCTTAGTAATTGCATTGATTCAGAAACCGTAACATTAAGTTCCCTCCACCAAAGGGATTCTGTTATGGGAAAATGAGCAAAACGCTATGATAAAATTCATTCAAAGCTGCCTGCCAGATTTCTGAGCATCCAAAAGGGGCCAAGATATTTAATTCAATAGACATTTATTGTTGCTTTTATTATTGTTGTCCTTATTGGGAAGATTACTGAAAGATCACCTCTAATTTAGACTCTGTCAGGTCCTTGCAACTGAAAATCCTTCAAATTATCTATTTCACAGAATCACAGAATGGTAGGGCAGGACCTTGTCCAGGCGGGTCTTGAATATCTCCAGAGAAGGAGACTCCACAACCTCCCTGGGCAGCCTGTTCCAGGGCTCCGTCACCCTCAGAGTGGAGAAGTTCTTCCTCATGAGGTAAGGACAGAAATTCAGGAGAGGGCACACATCCCTTCAAAAAGCACACTGCTCCCTTTTTTTGTTTGTCTTCGCGATGCTGATGACACTGGTGTTGAAACTTTTTTATGCTAGCAATAAAATGTTTATGGAATACAACTTTCAGTTTCTTTGAGCAATACAGGCCACTCCTAATACCAGCACATTTAGAACCCAGTCCACATAAACGGGGAAATTACTGTAATACTAAGTCCAGAAGCAACACCTCAGCACAGAGAAGGCTGAAGATCAGTCACGCTTCCGCTCTCTCCTGGGAGTAACGCGACAGCTACAGCTCCAGAAGACCTGGAGCCGTATCATCACGATGATGCTACTAAAGCACAGTGGTAGGCACCGCACAAAGTTGTTTGGAAAAGCAGTGTGTTTGAGTGCAGACCTGGGAAAAGGAGAACACAGGCACCACGATTTTAAAAATTGGTGTCTAAATTCAGTTTCTTTCGAGCCATTTGTCTGGTATGTGCCATTTTCTATTCTCCCAGTTGTAAAACTGCAGAAGTGTTAGCTGACTTTCACACTCTCTTTCTAAGTCAACCTCTTCTCTCCAAACCAAAACTAAACAGATAGAGTTCATCTCCCCTCCACAAAAACAAGACAGGACAAAACTGCATGGGGTTTGTGTCTCTGCTTCACACAGTTCTCCACTGCAGTGTGCAAAGCCGTCTGGTACAAACACCTCAGTACACTCGGAGCTGCCTGCCAGGGCATTCAACACATGCTACGAAACAAAACAAAAACACCACTAATGCAGGCAGATACAGCACAGCTGTCTTATTAATTCAGGGTTTTTAAAGTAAAAAAAAGCAATTAAAAAAAAATTACATGTAAGGTCACAAGAGCATCATCTGGGGCAAAAGAAGCCACCAGGACCAAGTACTGCCTGGTACTGACACACACAGTCTGCTCTCCTACAAGCTAGAGCTAAGCATCATGACTTCATGGTCATAACACAGCCATCCACGGTATGATTTCTTCTCTTCCAAGTCAAATTTGTATTCATTTCTGATCATTTTTACTTCTGCTTTTCTAATAATTTTACTTCAGTTTTCCACTTTCACCCAACTCCATTTTTAAATGGTTTAGTTGTGCATTCTTCGCTTTTCGGGGTCACCACTAGGGTTCTCTCATTTTTCTGCTAAAACAGTGATACTTATCAAACTTTACTGCTGAAAAAGTGAAAGAGAACAGAGCTAGGAAGTAGCACACCAGTCATTACAAAGCAGGATAAAGCAGCTTTTAAATTGGATAGTCAAAAAAATTCTAGATAGAAAAATTCTACAGTATATGAAGAGACAGTGTCTTAACTACAGCCACAGGCATAAGCCAGCAGAGCAGCAACCAAAGTTCTTGCTCAAGGGATTTACAGCAGAGCACTGAAGAGATGGCTATGAAAGCAGGAGATTGACATAATGCCATAGAAGAGGAGTACACCACACAGCATAATACATGTAAGTCTCTAAAGAATGGTAATGGTAAAGACACAAAAAGATTCTAAAGTTTATACATTGTGGTTTAACCTGGCAGCCGGCAACTATGACCATGCAGTCGCTTGGTGGCAACTCGGATCACGCAGCCGCTCACTCTCTTCTCCTCCCCACAGTGGGACGGGGAGGAGACTGGGAGAAAGTAAAACTCATGGGTTGAGAGAAAGACAGTTTTATAAGATAACAAAGGAAATAATAAACAATAATAATAATAATAGTAATAATAGTAATTATAATAGAATATGCAAAACAAGCAGCCAGTCCCTGAGCAGCAATCGTGGAACTCACGGATTTCGCCGAACTCACAGAAGATGAGTGAACTCATGGAAAAGGAAATTCCTGCCTTCCGGCCAACCCCCATTCATAAACTGAGCATGACATCTATGGTATGGAATATTTCCGTATGCCAGCTTGGGCTGGCTGCCTGGCTGTGCTCCCTGCCAGCTCCTACACACTGGCTCATTAGCTGAATACAGGAAACGGAAAAAAGTCCTTGATTTCCTAGCTACAGCTAAAAACATCAGTGTATTATCAACACTCTTCTCCTACTAAATCCAAAACACAGGAGCTACTGGGAAGAAAATTAACTCTATCCCAGCCAAAACCAGGACACAGGTGCAGAGACTGAAATCAGTAGTACAACAGAAAAACAAGACAGAGCAGCAATCAACAAGCAGAGAAATGCTGCCGGGATATGTTTTTGGGGGGATTTTTTAGTTTGTTTTCGAGGGAGAGAGAGGAAACTTGGTTCCTTGCCAATGAAAAATAAAAGCAGATTTTGCATAGTTTGCATCTACGCTGGCCCTGACTTGGCGCTAGAAGCGCATTCCAGAAGCTAATGCCTGGTCAGCCCCGCTTACGCTGTGCGTCACAGTATGAGGCAGTTCTCGGGAGCACGGCTAATACGCTCCAGCCAGCACCAGGCATTCACAGGATCACAGGATCACTCCGACTGAGAAGGACATCAGGGGGTCTCTGGTCCAACCTCTAGCTCACAGCAGAGTCAGGCCAGGCTGGAAGGGCCTCATCCAGCTGGGTCAAAATCCCAAGGCTGGAGACTGCACAACACCTCTGGACAACTTGTGCCACTGCCTGACTGTCCACTTGTGCCACTGCCTGACTGTCCTAGCACAGAAAAAGTTTCCCTTACATCCATGCCGAACCTCTCATTTTAACCTACGGCCAGCGTCTCTCAGCCTGTCGCTCTGCACTGCTGTGAAGAGCCCGGCCTCCACCTGTCTCCTCCGTGACCTCTCTGTAGGCATTGGAGGCCGCTGTCAAGTCCCACCGAAGCTGTCTCTGCTCCAGGCTGAACAAGCCCAGCTCCCCCAGCCTCTCCTGGCAGGACCACCACCTCAGTGACCTCCACTGAACTCACCCTACCTTGTCAATGCCCCCCTGTACGGGGGATAGTGGTGGTGTGTAGGAGGTCACCAATACTGAGGATCTACTTTCCTCAAAGAGATTCAGTTCAAAGGATCAGGTACGAGTTAACCCAGCTTAACCCACCACCACACAGCACGCAATCTGGCTCTCAGCACCAGCTATCTTATGTCTGCAATCTTGCTCTTACTGGGCTATTCCACTTGCTGATGCAGGAGTAGCCATCAGCCTTTAACTCAGGCTTCAATTCCAGAAAACAATCCTGGCACTGCTTAAATTTGTACGCAGCTTGAAGCATATGTGTAAGTACACACAGTGTGCTGAGCAAATGCTTGAATACTTTTCCCCAGCCAGGACCTTATTTTGTATTACCTAGAGGACAGCTGTATATTCTACCATGCCAAGGTAATATCCCCACATAATACAGACACCTTTTTATATGACTACATAAAACCCAGAAATTAACTACCTTGCCTTAGGTTACAAAGAAATGCTACAGCACATCCAGAAACACAGATCTCCAAAGACTCGGATGAGTATTTTAACTACCATGTCACTCACTCTCACATTGCTACTGCTAGGAAGAAATATGGGCACATGCAGAACACACATGGACGATGTACTGCTGTAAGAAGCAATCAAATGAGGCATAGTTGAACCAATTAAACAGTTTGATATTGATTTATTTCATGTGAATAGATTCTGCTCATCTATGGGTAAGTCTGTAACTATCTGTAATTACTAAGCTGTCCAACATTAGTTTTCACACATGGGAAAAAATAACAGAAAACTCTGGATTTTCTTGGAATATCTGAAGTGTAACACAATAAGAATGACAGATTTTAACACTGTTTTATCAAGATATAAATCATTACTTGTAAAAAACAGCACATAAATTGGAGATGAAATGGATTTTTCATTTATTTCAATTTACTGGGGCAGGAAAACAAAACATTATGTTTCAGGGTATGAATACTTAATTATGTATGTTACTGGCTGACACCCTGTTATAGCATAACTTCATAACAGCACCACGAGGGCATCAGACAAAGCTCTAAAACATCACAGTCTGATTAAATACTCTTATCTGCAACAGTGAAGTCAAGCATCCATATTTTCTTTTGCATTTATATTGAACTGCTCTCCTTTGCACCCATGGAGCACCTTACTCACAACCGAAAGATGTCGTCCATTCCAGGCTACCAACACTGAGCAATCACAGAATCATTAAGGTTGAAGAAGACCTCTAAGATCATCAAGTCCAG